CTGCTATTTACTAAATTCCTCTTTCCTAGGAGAAACGCTTTCAAAGGAAACTGATAAATAACCCATCCCTTACTGTACATGGAGACACATATCACAGTGCTGGACCTGAAAACCTTCCAGACTCCATCAATTAAGCTACCACATAGAGAGGATGAAGCGTGGGGGTGGAGTGAGTGAGGGATTCTCCCTAGGACGCAATGGAAACCAGATGTTGTGGGCAGAGCTAGCATGCTTCTTATCAAGAGCTACACTGCAAATTTCACATGGAACCAAACAAACGACTCATCATTGCCAAGGCACAGACTTATCTTCCCCAAATATTTAATAATGAGCTCTTCAATCTAGCAGAGAAAGGTATAACATGCTCCAGTGGCTGGAAGCTGAAGCTAGACAAATTCAGACTGGAAATCTGGAAATAAGGTGTAATTTTTTACAAGTGAGTAATTAACCATTGGAACAATTTACCAAGGGTCGTGGTGGATTCTTCATCACTGGCAATTTTTAAATCCAGATTGGATGTTTTTCTAAAAGATCTTCTCTAGGAATTATTTTAGGGAAGATCTCTGGCCTGTGTGATACAGGAGGTCAGACTAGATGCTCACAATGGTCCCTTCTCGTCTTTGAATCTATGAAAAGCTGTTATGTGTAGTATGGTAGTGCCTACAGACCTCAGCCAAGATCAGAGCCCAGTTGTATTTGATGTCGTTCAAACATTGTCCAGGACAGCACCTACCCCAAAGAGCTATATGTCAAAATGCCTCTGACAATCAACTTCCTTTCTGAAATACAAACCAAGAAGGATGCCTGGTAGGTGCAGCTCTGGTGACAGGCAATAGCAATAACCTCAGCATATGAGCGTGTTCATTTTTCACAGTTACAAAAGCTCAGACACTATCAAATAATGTTACCAGTGACTCATAAATCAAATACTCCCTCTTCTTCTGGAAGTTGATGGCGCCACTTTGCCCAGCTGTGCATGAGCCTTATGCTCACTAGAACCAATACTGCCCCCTACATTGCAGTGCAGTCGTACTCCGAATAAGGCTGCTGGGAGAATTATCAGTCAACTTTCTTCCAATGGAAAAATCAGGTTTTTGACAAAAGGAAGATTTTCATAGGGCATGTCCACTTTCCTGAAATTTTTTTTGACAGTTTGTTGGAAAACCAAAGCTTAAAAAAAATTCAGCCATAACCTGAATTTTTTGGGTAGTTTCCAGCCTTTTCTTTCAGATTTTGGCAAAACCCCAAAATATTTTCCAATTTTTTTTAAAACCAAAAGGCAAAATTTTCCATGGCAAAACATTCCCATTTTCTAAGCAGGGTAACTCCTGACACCATGAGCTGAGCTTGGGTGGGGAGAGGGATAAGGATGTCAACAGAGCCTGTTTTAAAACAAGGAGACTGCTAGAATAATCTGGACTAGCTTTCCATCACTGCACATCAAGAATATTGTAGGCAGAGTGCAATTATGTAAAGGGGAGCACTGCAGAAATTAACCCTTTATACCCTGGGTACCCCACATGCTCCTCTTTATCAGTTATTTTTACATAATGGTTACAAATGTGGACATATGAGGGCATTGTTGTGGATCAAAAAGGTTATATGCAGCATCATCAAGCCATAAAAATGGAAGGGACCTTTAGGGGTCATCAAGTCCAGCCTCTTGCGCTGAGGCAGGCCCAAATAAATTTAGACCATCCCTGACAGGTAATTATCCAACCTGTTTTTAAAAGTCTTCCAATGATGGGGATTGGACAACCTCTCTTGGAAGCCTGTTCCAGAGCTTAACTACCCTAATAGTTAGAAAGCTTTTCCTAATATCTAGCCTAAATTTCTCTTGCTGTAAATTAAACCCATTACTTCTTGTGCTACTTTCACTGGACATGGAGAACAATTGATCCCCATCGTCTTTATAAACAGCCCTTAACACATTTGAAGACTAAAAGAAAAGGAGTACTTGTGGCACCTTAGAGACTAACCAATTTATTTGAGCATGAGCTTTCGTGAGCTACAGCTCACTTCATCAGATGCATCTGATGAAGTGAGCTGTAACTCACGAAAGCTCATGCTCAAATAAATTGGTTAGTCTCTAAGGTGCCACAAGTACTCCTTTTCTTTTTGCGAATACAGACTAACACGGCTGTTACTCTGAAACCTGACATTTGAAGACTGTTATCAGGTCCTCCCATAGTCTTTTCTCAAGACTTACCATGCAGAGACTAAACATGAATTGTGCAGGTAAATCCATAGTAGGTAGGTATTTAATATTGTGAGGGTACACTGTGGAGGTGTGTTCCACAGACAGGTGGAACTGCATGGGATCTTGTAAGAACTCAGATAATCTCATCTTTAATCCTGTTACTCTCAGGTAGAGATGGGCTGCCTGAATTTTAACCAGAAACTCTCCCCAGTGACTTCCCCATCTTAACCTGTGATAACCTCCCTGTTCCAGGATGGCATAGACTCACTGTGAGCGGGAAGATGGAGGGATAGACTCATTTGTTTTCCCCATTTAAACAGAAACACGCTAACTTTTTATTGTACACTCTTCAGGGCATGGATTGTCATTTATTATATGCTGGTACAGTTCCTAGCACAATGGGACCATCAGCTGGTAGAGGCCACTAGGTGTACTGATACTAGCCAAAACTAGAACAGAGGCAGCACCACTAGGCCAAAGTTATAGCTGATTGCACATTGCTAAAAATGTTTAGATTTTGTTCCTGAAAAAAATATGCGGAGAATCTTGCTAGTGTAGCAGCTGCCTTCTCTAATAGCACAATATCACTCACTCACTGGTGAGAGTTCTATCTGTCAGCCAGGTCCATTTCTAATCTTGGGCAGCAACAGCTAGAACGGAGATGAAATCCCCAACACACTAGTATCATCTGCCTACTATGCTGGTATCCAGGGGCTTAGTGCAGCACAGATGTGAATGGTGTTGCTTAGATTGTAAGTGCTTCAGGGCTGAGAGCAACTCTTGGTTAATATGTCTGTATAGCACCCGCACAAAGGGGTTGTGGCCTCTAGGCGCTAATGCAATGCAAATAATAAACAGTGATGATAACTATTTCTTCAGTGTTCTATGGATCCTCAGGGTCTCTGTGCGGGGCAGGACTGCTCCGACGCACAGCCATGCAAAGGACATTGTCTGCAGAAAGCCCCCAGCTTATCAGAAACTGGTAAAAAAGTGTTAAAAGAAACATTAAGAATACACAAAGGACTCAAAAAGGTAAGAAATAACCTCACAACCTTAACTCTGCTTCCTTGTGAGTTTGCCTGATGGTACTGTCCAGATCCTCGGCTAGTGTAAACCAGTGTAGTTTCCTAGAAGTCACAGACCTTGGACCCTATGAAGAAGCTTCCATGGGGCCCAGAGGAGAGTGTAGGAGCAATGCCACAGAGGTGGCTGGGCCTCACTTCCATGTGGAAGTTGGGAGAACAATGCGTATTGTGGGCCTATGAATTTAATGTCATAAGAGATTTTATAGACTAAACCAGGGGTCTCAAAGTCCTGGCCTGCGGGCCATCTGTGGCCCGAGAACCTCCCCACTGTGGCTCGCGGAGGAGAGACGCATGTGGACACACTGCCGGCATTGCCGGCATTTAGCCCCAGCAGCTCCCATTGGCTGAGGGAGAGGGACAGAGATACCATCACTAGTCGCCGGGCAGAGTCAGCCATGGAGGTAGCAGCATTAGTTGCTGGGCAGAGTCAGCCATGGAGGCAGTATCACTTTTCCCCCCACAATGAATATGAACAACTCAAAATACCGAACACAACTATCTGATGCCCACCTTGCTGCAATCCTGACGGTTTCAACTGCTCAGTCACTGAGGCCAAACATCAACAAACTGACAGAACTGAAGCATTGCCAGGTGTCTGGCAAACACTAAAAACTCTCTGGCAGATGAAGAATTGTATAAAGTTGTATGACAGTTTTATTATTTCTAAGAAATTCAAAATAAAAAATACAATATAAATGTTTGCTTTTCTGAACACCATCTTCAGTGACATTATTGGCCCACGGGGAGGATTTGAGGACTGGCACTGGCCCTAAGGTAAATTGAGCTTGAGACCCCTGGACTAAACTGTTCAGGATACTCTAGGTTAAGGTTCCCACAGGGTCAGTATTCCCCTGGGAAACACACAGCATTCTGCCCTGATGCCATTCCAAGCCTGGACTAAGCCTAGCTGAAACCTGGAGGTACCATTATATTGCCGCACACATGGACATTGCCAAGCCAGAGAGGTGTAAAGAGATGTATCAGTTCAGAACAGTGAGCTCTGAGCTATTAAGTAGCTTCTTTTATCAGCTGCACAATGATCCTACCCAACGTCTCTCCAAGGCAGTACAACTGCTGTCCTGCTATATAGGTCTCTGGGACACCATCCAATGTGGGTCCAAAAATAGACAAAAACCCCATGAAGAGTCTCAATGCCATCCCAGGACGCCGTTCACTAGACCACACTGCCTCTCCAGAGTCAGTTGCACTCTACTCACTTTGTGCCTTGCCGAGAAGACCTGGCTTCCCAGGGGAATGAATAGCAAACATGGCTTGGAGGCGACCCAGCGCCTGAAAAACAAAAATCACCCTCCAATATGCCAAAGAGGGAGAGGGAGCCACTGCACAACAGCCATGGTCCTTTGAAGTAGAAGCTAAAGAGATTTTAAAAACTAATCAAATTAGAGCGATCCCTCTGGGAGCACATATACTTTTACCCTGGCTAAGCAATATCCCGGTTTGGGTTTTTAGAACTTTCCAGCAGCTGCTAGGTTAGGAGGGTGACACGGGAGAGATTATTCTGAGCAAGTGCTAAGAGCCAGCACTTTCTCCGGCTCCATTCCCAGACATTCCCCCTCCCTCCAATATAGGATGACAGAGGACTGCCCCAGTTTAAATGACACTCTCAGCCTCTTGGAAACGACAGGTACTGCTCAGACCACAATCCAAGCAATTCCCACCCACCCTCCCCAAACAGCCCATAAACTATCATCACCATGGATGGTCAGGGAGCCCATTTAGCCTTTAAGTCACGCTGGCGCAAGACGGACGAGGAGCTCTGTCGGCACAGCATGTCTTTTATCCTGCACAAGGCCATACGAAGTGATTTCTTTCAGAGTTACCTCTACCTGCTGGAGCGGCTTCCCCTCGGTGAGTTCTCTGTGTGTGTCTGTCTGTGGACAGTGCCTAGTGCATTGTGCAAGCTACCAGAATACAAATAAATTGATAATAATGATAAATAGCTCTGCTAAGCCTTAGCACAGACAATAAGGTGCTATACAAGCCAGTCTGTTCTATCCTTCAGCTACCACTGATCTGGCATCACAGTTTATTGTATCTTGGTGCCACAATGATAAGCACCACAGAAATAGATGGATTGGCAGATGAGATGTACTTTGCTTGCAGATGCAGTTAATGCTATTTTTTTCCATTTACAGTTAAAATAAAAAATGTGTTGTGAGTTTAAGGATGAGAAGCTGCATTGTGTGTGAGTGCGAAAGAGAGAGAGAGAAAAAAAAACTGGAGCAGACATGCTTTGCTTTCTGGCTGTCAAATGTCCATATTTGTTATCTTTCCAGATGTCCGTATCTTTGATCCAAGTCTTGCTTTGCAGAGTGGAAAGGTGCTTGCGAAACAATGCTGGGTGGGTCTGTTATCAAGAGTTTGCTATCCTAAATCTCTCCCACAATTCACTCAATCCAATTATTTATTTAGTTTCAAAGTACTTCTGGAAGGAAGTGTTAATTTATGGCCAGATTTCGACAGGAGCTGCTGAATGCTAAGTGCCGAGCTACTTTTTTAGGAAATAGTGCTGAAATAGGATCTGAGCTCTACTGAAATGTCTGGCCCCGAATATGTAAGGTTTAGGATGTCCTACTCCAATTCCAAAAAGCCACAATTGTCCTGATGACAATCAAAAAGAAGCCAGGTTTTGACTTAGGACTGTATTATTTTAAGATGGTCACTTTGCCAGCTGCATACTGCAGGCTATGCTTAATGTTAGAATCACATCAGTTAGAGATAGAAAGAACCTTTAAGGTCACATCTTGTTTATCTTATTGGCAGGGCATTTGTTCTTGAGGGCTTCCTCCACATTCATAGGCAACAGATCACCTTTGCTGAACATGTGCACCTGCCATTGACACCAGGGGGAATTCTGTTAAAGATCAAGGCATTTATAGGTCTCTTAGAGAGTGGAGGTAGTTCTGTGTTTTGCACTATTTCTATAGAGCTGCTAAACAGACAAACAAAATGTGCAACCATCTGAAGTGTCCCATAGAAGATAAATTCACTTCACCCTAGTCATTCTGAGAGGATGAGAGGGAATGGGTAAGAATGTTGTGGGGAATCTCAATAAAAAAGAAAGATCTTCTTAGTTATAGCCTTACATAATTCCTAAAAGTCCATTACAATGCTAGTCCTTCCCTTTGTTCTGAAAATAAGTGCAAGGTATTAGAAACTCAGCCAAATTTCTGACTGTTTAGTTGTCCAAAATAACTATGAATAGACTCTTAGATTTTAAGGCCTCAAGGTATCATTATATCATCTAGTTTGAGTTCCTGTATAGCACAGGCCACAGGGTTTCACACAGTGATTCCTGCAACATATATTTTAGAAGGGCAACCTCTTGATTTAAAGTTATCAAGTGATGGGAGAATCCACCCGGTCCCTAGGTAAGTTGTTCAAATGATTAATTACCCTCACTGTTAAAAAAAAATTGTGCCTTGTTTCCAGTATCGTGTCTAGCTGGTTGTCTAGCGTCAGTGTCCAGCTGTCGGGTTGGTTATCCCTTTGTCTGCTAAGCTGAAGAGCTCTCTGCCATCAGGTATCTTCTCCCCACAAATATATCTGCAGACTGACCAAATCACCTCTTAGGCCATGCCTACACTAACTGCCGGATCGGATCCCTGATCGCTCTACCGTCGACTCCAGAACTCCACCACAGCGAGAGGCGGAAGCTGAGTCGACGGGGGAGCGGTGGCCATCAATCCCGCGCCGCGAGGACGCGAAGTAAGTGATTCTAAGTCGATCTAAGATACTTCGACTTCAGCTACGCTATTCTCGTAGCTGAAGTTGCGTATCTTAGATCGATTCCCCCATGGCCCAGTGTAGACCAGGCCTTAGTTATGCTAAATAGATGGAGCTCCTTTTGTTTTTCACTGTAAAGCAGCTTTCCTAGTCCCTGAATCAATCTTCTAGCTCTTTTCTAACCCCTTTCCAATTTGTCAATTTACTGTCAGTTTGTCCAATTTAGCAACTCTTTCTGCTGTGTCTCTGAGCAAGGAGATGAGTGGTGGGCTGGGAAGCATGTGGCAGCCCCAAAAGCCAGGATAGTATTACTGTTTCAAGTTCAGTTCCATGGAGAACATAGCACCCCATGTAAAACGTCTAAGTCTGAGTCACAGCATCTGTGGTTAGATCCAGGTCTCTCTTCTTTAACCTCAATATTACACAACATGACAAAGCCCCTGATTTAGCAAGGCCTTAAGCATGCACCTAGCTTTGCACAAGTAGTCCCATTTCAAGGTTAGAGCAGCCTAGGGTCAGGAAGGTGCAAAGTTGGTTTAAAGTTAGCCGTCATTCACCCTGGGCTATATGTCCTGTTCTGGACCTCAGAGAGGTGCAGCATAGAATCTCACCCTAGTGTTACATGTGAGCTGAGCGTATTCAGTGTCTAGCCAATTTACAAGAAATCAACATGCCATTTTTCCAGCCAAAAATAGCACTTTTTTCTTTGTATAAATACGTTATGGGAGTGAATTTAGGCCCCAACTTAGCAATGCACTTAAGTGAGTGTATAACGTGAAGCACATGAGCAGACCTGTGGACTTCAATGGAACTACTCAGATACTTACATTTATGAAAATACTTAAGTGTTTTGCTGGATCGGGGCCTTAATGCTGAGCATAGGTGCTGGAACTAGGGGTGCTGCAGCACCCCCTGGCTTGAAGTGGTTTCCATCATATACAGAGTTTACAGCTTGGTTCAATGGCTCTCAGTACTCCTACTATACAAATTGCTCCAGCACCCCCAGGTGCTGAGGAAGGATGATCCACTGCAAAGAAAACAGAATGCTGTCAGTTTGTAGGGCTAAATATTCTGGACCATGAGCCCCAGGTCTCTATGTAAAATTGGTTCTTTGGGGATGAACTTTACCTTTGGACAAAAAAGGGCTTAAGTGGCCCCTAGTCTTGTGCCCGTCTGCTACACAGGGGTAAAATTCACCCAGGGTTCTCAAATGTGTGTTTAAAACTGATGCACCAAGCATTGGCCACATGATGCATTTTAAAGTGGGGGCTCAGCTGAATGGACACAACTGAACTGGTTCTCTGTCTCACAGAAATCGGTTTGAGTCACAAAGACAGGCTCACAAATGCAAACTTCTGTTCCCATCACACAATTTTAGAAGAGTGAACCCCACAGCTAAGAAAAATATGAGATATTATGTCTGAGAGCAGGAATGCCTCCAACACTAGGTTGCTACCATTTCTTTGATCAGAGCAAGGGCCCTTCAGAAGTTTGGGAAAGAAACTCCCAAATTGATACCTAAGAAAAGAATAGGAGTGCCAATTTGGACTTTGCAACGGCAAAAAGTTTAGGTAAACGTTCATTGGTCTAGCTCACAGGCTTGGAATTCATCTCTTGGCCACCACTTTGCATCCAGACCATGTTGGTACTGACTACAAATCATTAACATCTGATAACTGTTCAGTGACCTTTACAAAATGAATTTCTGATCTCAGTCTGCTTTCTAGTGAGTACTTCATAACCATCGCTGCTTGGACTCCTTGCCAGCAGCTTCAACTTGGAGACCAAGAATGTATAGAAAAATGCTACTTCACTAGAAACATTTCTCACACCCCAAAAGTAGCTATATGACTAGGTAAGCTATTTACCTCTGAAAACTCTACACATGAAAAACAGCTACAGCCCTTCACATCTCTGAGGCTAAGGGGCCTGAGATCCTGGCCTGGATGCTGGATCTCATTTTACAGCTACACTGCAATAAAACATTGGATCAGTAAATACACTTCCTCATTCACTTCTAATCAATTGTTCCATAGCAATCAGCCTGATCAAATTGTAGGTTATGACCTTCCCTACATGCACAGAAGGGGAGGACTAACATGAAAGGAGCTGTGGTTGGTTTGATCATCAAAGCTTGTCACTCCAAAACTGCACCCAAGACCTGGTATTGTCCTTTTATCTGGAATAGGTTTCAGAGGAACAGCCGTGTTAGTCTGTATTCGCAAAAAGAAAAGGAGTACTTGTGGCACCTTAGAGACTAACCAATTTATTGGGAATATAGGATATCGACAGGGGACATCACATCAGGGAGTGTTCAAATGTTTGCCTAGGCTCTCCATATTCACATTTGGGGTCATTCCTCACTTCCACTTGGTCATATTGTCACCACTCTTTGCCCCCCTGCTCTTGCTTGGTTTAGCATACACCAGTGTTTTTGCTCTACATCAGTGCTTGGGTCCTGAAGAAACCAGGTTCTCCAAGGTTACTGGCATTTCCTGACATTTTGTTACTCTGCAGCCTTCCACGGTGTTTTTTTTTTTGGGGTAAGGGATTTTCAAAGGCAAAGCTCTTCCTGGAATTCAGCCTCTTGGGTGAAGGAATGTGCCCACACAGTAGGTGTCTTGGATCATGCACCTGTTTTTGTCTCTCCTTTTTACTGAAGGCATCCCATCTCACTGATGGCAGTGGAATCCCAGTGAGACAGTATACAACAGTGTAGGAGTTTGTTTCAAGGTCAATGTGACAATCGTACAACTGAGTTCCGTTTCAATTCTGTGTACATGGCTCAAGTGTGACCATTCTGGGCACAGTACTCCACAGCTGAGTAACACAGGGCAAGACTGGTTGCTCAGAGTATTTTGGGGTCCTATTTGTGTTGGCCAGTTTCTGGAGTGCACAATTCCTGGAGCTCACTTTTTCAGGTTCTTGTGCTCTTTGAACGTCAGCATTCTGTCCAATGTGACCACAGGGTACTCCAGATATCCAGAGTGCTCAAGGATTGTATCATCCCATGATATCTGCAGTTTTCCTTGGCCTGGTGGTGTTTCAGGTGGAAGGTGCACACTTGTGTCTTGCTAGGCTTAGCATTCAGGAACCAAGTACAGCAGTATTTTTCAGGTACACTCAGGGAGTCGGTTAAAATGCGCTTAGTGTCATCAGATCTTTCCACCTGGGAAGTTATGCAAAGATCATCTGCCTAAATTAATCTTTGCATGTCAGGGAATTCTGGTTGGTCATTGGGGTGGACATTAAACAGCAAGGGTGATAGCACTGAACCTTGGGGCAATCCCTCCCATTGTGCTAGCCATCAACTTTTATGACCATCCATTTTGGCAAAGAAATGTTGATTTTTGAGCAGGGAAGAGGTGACCAGGACTATCTGGCTCTTTCCAATTTCAACAGCAGTGCATGATGGTTCACAGTGTGATATGCAGTTGACAGATCAACAAATACAGCCTCTGTAATTTTGCAGGTTTTGAAGCCATTTTCAATGTATTGAGGTAGGTTTGCAACTTGGCCACAGCATAAATATCCTGGTTGGAAACCAGCCTGGGCATCAGCCAGCTGCTCTTCCTCTATGAGCACTATTCTAACTATTATCATCTGCTCATATAGTTTGTAGGTTGAGCAGATTAGGATATTGGGCAATAACTCTTTGCAGGGTTAGGGTCTTTATGTGGTTTGAGTAGTGCAACCCCTTTGGCCTGACTCCACAGCCTGGGTGGCTGCGTTAACACTTGCATAGCGACAAAGAAGTGAAATAGCCACTTCTGTGCTCTCGTCCCAAAGTGTAGCAATGATTCATTAGCTATACCATCGAGACTAGCTGCTTTCCACTTTTCAGGGTTTTCATGGCTGCTGCTCATTGTGGACTTTGTTGTCTGAGGAGTTAGCAAAGTTCCTGCTTGATTGTTTAGTTTTATACTTTGCTTTGTGGGCTGGTTTGTGAGTTGGGATGAGTTGGTGTGTAGCTTGGTTGGGAGAGACTACGGCAACGCGCTTTGGTTGTTGTGCATCGGGGTTCAGCTTGCGAATGGTGGCCCATTCTTTTTTGCTATCATTTCAATCAGCTCCCTTCAGTGGTTGTGCTGCTCATTTCCAATCTCTCTCATAAGCTCACTGGTTTCTTCACTGAATGGATCCAGGTCAAACAATTCTGAATCTCTCTTATATTGTTGGCTTGCCTGTTCTGAAAGCCCAGGTGTATATAGTCTCCAACATCACTTAGGGATGTACTTTTGGGCACACTTTCACACCAGGGAGACAAGTTCGCCATAGTGCTCATGTATCAGAGTGGTACTACAGATGGATACATTAGTTCAAAGGTGAAGCTTTCCCAGGAAGCTTTTCTGAAGTAGAATCTTGGCAGGTACTTTGTTTTTGAGTTGCACTGCAGCCTCTATTGCCACTTGTGCTGGTCTATCATTGCCATAACCTCCCTTCTGAAGTTGCCGGCATTTTCAGGGGTCACAAAAGCTAGATCGGGATTGTACCCCTTGTTCCATCCAGTGCTTTGGAAGGCACATTTGTCCTTGAAGTCATAGAGCAAGGTCAACTTGTTAGTTGCCACCCCCTTCTCAACTTCCCCCCCTTCGTTGGGGAATCCCGAGATGATGTTACTGTTGAAATCGGCTGGGACAAGACATGGTTTTACAGCAGTGGAAGGTCAGTTGGCCATGCAAACTGTTCACTTGGTGGTTTGTAAACAGAAATTGCTGCCATCATAAGTGCTTTTGTACCATGGTGCTTCACAGCAGTGTTTTTCCACCAGTCTTTTGTCACATAAAAGTATTGTGCCGCATAAATGTTGCTTTTGATGTTCGCAGCTATATGCATGCCAGGAGTGTTTGGTGTTGTTGCCTTGCCGTGTGTCTCTTGCAAGCACATAATATCTGTTTTCATGTCAGATAGCATTTCAGCCTTCTTTGCAGAGAACCCCTCCACATCGAAATGGACAGTTTTTAGTGCCATTTTTGGCTGAGAAGTTTATGTCGACAACTATGTCTGAGTCTTCTATTGTGGTCTCGGTGGGTATTGTCAGATTTGGTCTCTCTCCTGTTTAGCTGCAATGGGAGTCATGACATGAATGTATCTGACACGACCCCTGGTTGGCTTGATGAGTGGGCAAAACCATGAACTGCGCCCCTCTGGGATGTGGTGACAGTAGAGAGGGGAAGCTAGAGGGTGGTGTGTAGCTGAGGGTCCATGAGAAATTCAGGGCCAGACTCCAAAGATCTGAGATCCTGAGCAGCATGTCACTCCCATGTGATCCCTTTCATTGGGGTCACACTTTGAGTGTTACTGCTCTGAACAGTAATATGGGCTGCCCCTTGCACACAAACCTCAGCCCTGAAGCACAAGCTGCATGTTCATTCCTCTCCTTTCCATCCATCAGAATATGAAACTCCGTCTGTTGATAAGCCCAATAAAATTGCTCTAGAAATCCTCAATGGAATCTCTTAAGTGAGATCTTGTAAAGCGAGTATCCTGGGGCTCAGTTCCACTAGCCTCATCAGCAGTGGCTGCAGTATACAGAGAAAGGGGATACAGGAGTAGAAGGGCAACAGTCCCTGCAGCAATGGACGACAGCCAGTGGATCCTTCTATTTCCCAGGGTCTGACAATCACCATGGTCAAGATTTGCAGGGGATCCACTGCCACTCCCTTGATTTTTCTTCCTTTAGTGAAATGTTTCTTTGGAATATGGAAAATAACCAGTGGAGTGTGTCAAACCTGGGTTTGACCCTTGCTGGGCTCAGCACTCACTTGTGGTATAAATTTCTCAGGCATAACATAAATGTGTAATGGATTAAAGCTTTAATAGTATCCGCTCGGCAGTCAGCTTAAGCAGGTGATGACAAGAAGGGCTGGTAATGCTGCTTTTGTTGGATAAAGGATATCCCTGGCATGCTGCTAATACGTAACCCAAGAGCACTATTTTGCTCAGAGTGGTCTTTAGTGGTAATTATTCCCTATTTTACTTCCTTTGCCCCTCCCTCATTTGCCTCCAGGATGTCATTCTGGTGCTCAGGATGGGCAAGCACACATTTATTCCCCACTGGGCTCCTTGCCTTCAGTAAATACAGTCCATGGTCATTCGTGAGTTGTGGTCTACTCTGGTCCTCCACAGTGCAGTCTCACTTGCCTGTTCAAAGCCCAGGCAATAATTATTATCAATAAAGGTGCAGTACACGGAAGACAAAGTCATAACAGTTGCAAGCTACATAAACTGCATTCCTTTTCCCTCATTTTATTTATTTAGTCTACAGGGAAATCTGCGTTTACACTGTGGCTGAAGGTACCTAATCAGACGGACATTTGGCACTTGCTCACTTCCAGTGCTGCACATGTATTGGAGATGCACGACCTATAGTAGGCCTGGCCACATACTGCAAACTGCTCACGAGTATTTGTTCCAAATCTGTACCAGCATTAGATTCATCCCTACCTCCTTGTTACTTGCTATTCAAAGGCAGTCATGTGATTGGGTCTTCATTCACAGGAATGTTTGGGAACAGCTCTTTTTCATGCAAGAAAAAGCTACATTATCCGCCTTCAAAGCCCTCCTCAAAACTCTCCTTTGCATTGATGCCTACAAAAAAAAACTTGACAATGCTTAGGCAGAGACCACTTTCTCTCATGCTGATCAATGTTATCTCATTGTTTCCTCGTATTCCTATCTGTCTGTCTGTATCTGTCTGTTGTCTTGTCTTTTATTTAGATTGTAAGCGCCTACAAATACTCAGAAAGGGTAAGTACGAAAAACCCAGAACATTTAGCACAGATCTCAGTTAAGGAAAGAAAAAGGGAAAAGTATCAAATATCAAGTTGAGAATTCATGTTTCTTAGACAGCTGCAAAGCTACTATTCTTGGTTACCAGCAGACCATGTGGTAGTAATATAGAGCCCAAACATTTAAAAACTAAACAATGAAAATAGAAACTCCAAACTCTAGCACCTATTGTGTCACCCTCATCAATTACACATCCCTCCTCCTTTTTGATCTGTGGCAGATGAAAATTTAGGGATTGATGCGCTACCACCTTGCACCTTATTTAGGGCCGGACTGTGCAACTGACCCCAACACCGGTGCCAAGCAGGAAGAAAATATTACAGAAAGTCATAGAATTCTTCACTCAGTCACACCGGTGGGACCGTTTTACTCCTGCTTGGCACAGACTTTGCACGCTTATAATCAACTACACAGGGTGCTGGGCCTTGGACTATACAAACCAATTAGCTTCATCTCGGGGTACCTGTACACTGCAATCAGAGGTGTGACTGCAGCACATGGAGCCATACCCAAGCTAGCTTTGATCGAAGCAGCTCAAACAACAATAGAAGTGAAACCGCAGCAGCACGGGCTGTACTTGAGCAACTGGCTCATACTGTTGGGACTTCAATGCTATTGCTATTCAAGCTAGCTCGAGCAAAGCTAGCTCAGGTAGGTCCATGTGTGCGCAGTTATCCCTCTGATTGCCATGTAGACATACCCATAGTCTAAAAAGTGGCACTGCACAAATGTTAATGCGACCCACGGTTCTGCTGTGTAGCAAACAGCCTCTATGGGTCTAATTGGCATGTGTGTTTGCTCTCAAGTCTGAAATCTACAATTTTGAATTAACATGGAGTCGTCTGGGAAGGTAGGGATGTATTTACACAAATGGGCCCTGACCCTGGAAGGTGCTGAGCGGCCTCAGTTCCCATTGACTTTAATGCGAGTTGATGGACCTCAGCATCTTGCCGGAGACAGTCCAGAATTAATCATTCTTTTAATTAGGAAGAGAATTTTGCAAATTGTTGGTTTATTTCCACATTCAAATATCTTACATGCGTGCACACACACACCAATAAGACACCCAATCAGACCATGGAGTATCCCATTATAAATAAATAATAATACACTTTCTGTTTGCAGTGAAACTTTATGCTTTAACGAGTGAAGTGATCAACGGCGAGATGCAGTTCTATGCCAGAGCCAAACATTTCTACCGGGAGGTGCCAGCGACAGAAGAGGGCATGATGGGAGACTACATCGAGCTGTCCAGTACAGACATTGAATCCTCCAGGGAATTTCTTAGAAAGTTTATTGGGGTAAGTCATCCGCTCCAATCTTTGGCAAGAAGCAGGGCTCATGTCTCATAATTCACCTGCATCATGCCCAGTCCTTCTTCAGCTCTTAGGGCCTGATCCTGCAAAACACGCCATGCAGGTGGACCCAAGCACTTGCACAGAACCCCAGAGTTCCACAGAGGTTATGGGGTGGTTCTATTTGTAGGATTGGGGCCGTACATAGGCAAAAGTCTCACTGGCTTCAGTAGGAGTTTCACCTGTGTAAATGCTACAAGGTCAGACCTGGTCCGTTCTGTAAAGTGGACATGATATACCAAATCAGACTAATATTCCAGCTAGCCCACTACCCTGCCTCTCTCAGAGTCTGTTTCTAAATGTTTCTGAAGAAGTTGTGAGACATCCCACATGATAGGCTGGGCCTTTTTAGGTCCAGGGCTTTTTCAGAGACCCTTCTCTCTTAAAAGTCTTTCCAATTACGGGACACTTGCTTTCCGAGTCGTTCAAATTAGTCTCTCCAGCATGGGGCACGGCTACTTGCAGGTTTAAACTAGTGTAAATAGTGGATTCTCTGTAATTTGAGATCTTTAAACCATGATTTAAGGACTTCGGTAACTCAGCCAGAGGTTAGGAGTCTGTTACAGGAGTGGATGGGTGAGGTTCTGTGGCCTGCAATGTGTAGGAGGCCAGACTAGATGATCATGATGGTCCGTTCTGACTTTAAAGTCTATGAGTCTATAGAGGTCTGGCTTGTCAATGAAGGTGAAGTAGTTAAACCCTAGGTCAGGGCTTATCTCCAACCTCTCCCTGTTGTAGTTGGCTTGTACCTGATCTGGAGGGCCCTTGCGTGTGGCAGAGGTTTGCAAGCCATCTTCCTCCTGGCAGCTCTGTTGCAAGCATTGCTGCCTCTGAGGCCCAGCTGCCTTCCTCTGGTTACCACCCTTTCCTGTGACAGATTCTCTCTTTTAAGCTCATTTCCTACACATGGCATAGAATCATAGAATCGTAGAATATCAGGGTTGGAAGGGACCTCAGGAGGTCATCTAGTCCAACCCCCTGCTCAAAGCAGGACCAATCCCCAATTAAATCATCCCAGCCAGGGCTTTGTCAAGCCTGACCTTAAAAACTTCTAAGGAAGGAGATTCTACCACCTCCCGAGGTAACGCATTCCAGTGTTTCACCACCCTCCTAGTGAAAAAGTTTTTCCTAATATCCAACCTAAACCTCCCCCACTACAACTTGAGACCATTACTCCTTGTCCTGTCCTCTGAAGATGCACCTATTTAGTACTGGTTGAGCCCAGAGGAGCTTGTTAGCGATTTCCTGATTGGGATAGGGGTGTGCCGCATCCCACCCTCTATTAGGCAAACATGGAATAAGCTGCCCATAGAGAATTTTTTTTCCTAACCTCAGTCACTTAGGGCCAGATTTTTAAAGATATGTAGGTGCTTAAAGATGCAGATGGGCGTCAAGGGGGGATTTTTCCAAAGCACCTCGCTGGGGATGTGTTCATTATCCATACCCATGTCTTAAACGTTTGTGCAACCTGCTAAGCTTTCGGCCTCAGTGATATCTTGGGGCAATGAGATCCATGAGTTAATTAGGGTTTCTATAAAGTAGTATGTTCCTTTATCAGGTTTAAATATATTGGGATGGAAAGTGGTGGTATTTTAACAACACAGAACAACACTACATAGCAATGTAGGGCAGGAATTGAGGAAGAATATTGTATCCAATAGAAACTACTGGGGGAATGTGTCAGTGCAATAGAATTGCCTGAACTGGTAAATATGTATTAGTAATAATAATAAATTATTAATTATTAGGAGTAGTACACTAGCACCTAGAGGTCCCAAAACAGATCAGGACCTCAGGATGTTAGGTGCTGTACAAACACACAATAAGAAATACTCCCTTCCCTAAAGAGGCAAGGGATGGGAGGAAGCGATTTGCCCAAGGTCACAGAGGAGATCAGTACCAGAAATCAAACCCAAGTCTCCTGACTCCCACACCACTGCCCAATCCACTAGACCATGCTGCACTTATATAGTTAGTTGTGCTCCTTCATATTAAATAAGCGTCTAACCAATGGTCATAAAATTGCGATCGAGAGTAGCAAAATAATTTTTCATTTCAGTCTTCTCATTCTGGGTGGTGTTGCAGTGGGTTTGTTCCGTCTCTGATCAGCATAAAATCTGATGACTAACAAGTCCCTTGTATTTTAAAGTCTCTGCTGCTTTGCACTGAGGGTAGCATCATACTTTGGCTGAGAGGCCGTGCACTCTAGTTTACTGCTTACAGTCCTGGGAGCCAAGAACCCCTGCATTTGAAGTCCAGCTGTGCCAGGAAGGAACAGAAAGTCCCGCCGTTCACTGAGCTGGTCCATTGTTATGGGCATTGTAAGGGGACTCGGCCAGGGCTCGTCCCTCTGCGGTGTGGTGGGGCACCACACGTCCTTGCTACACCCTCTCTGCTGGGTTGGGGAATACCCAGTCTATGGCTCAGTCCTTCAGGCAGGGACTGAGCAAGCAGTACAATATAAGCCCCGGCCCTGGGTCAGGGCTGGCAGCAAACAAATAGTCACAGGCTCAGGCCCTCAGACAGGGACTGAGCAAATAGTTCAACAGCAAATCCCAGGCTCCTGGCTTTGAGCAACCAGGGAGAGGGGGAGACTGCCACCCACGAGGTGTGTGGCAGGGGGTCGTAGGCCCACCCATTCCACTGCATCCCAGCCTGGGGCCCTAGCAGCGACAGAAGGCCTGCTGCTGTGTCAGTGGGGATCCTGGCCACAACACACTGACATTGGCTCTGGCAGCGCTGCAGCCAGACTAGGATCGGCTGCCCCCGGGCTACTTCTGGACTCCCCCTCGTAGGGTACCTGGGTCAGGGTGGTATCCTCAGAGGGTTCCAGCACCATGGGTTCCTCCAGGTAGCTGGCAAGGGGTAGGCTTGGCAGCTCCTCTGGGTAGCTGGCGAGGGGTAGGCTTGGCAGCTCCTCTGTGCACTGGTCGGCATTAGGCATTGGCTGGTCCGGCCAGTCCTTGGGTCGGCCGCGGATTGCCAGGGTCTCCCAAGCCGGAGCCAGGCCACAGGCACCTGGCCTCTCCGGCGGCTGCCACCCAAGTGAGCTCTGGGGTTGGGCTTTTATACTTCCTGTCCTGCGCCTTGACCTCTAGGGGGCGGGCGCAGGATCCACTGGCTCCACCCACTTTGGTGTCTGGGGAGGTTCTTCCCTCTGCGGGGTGGTGGGGCACCACACCGCCTCACTACAGGCATACATTTATTAGTGGTCTGGTAGAGTCTGTGGGATACTAGTATCATGCTTTATCAACAATAAGCCTGGCTGGATGCCTTCATACCTTAACGGATCTTGTGGTCATTGGGCGGTTCGCCTGAAGTCTGCTGTGCCATCTGTCTGGGCTGGAGCAGCACACAGGGGGAACACACAGATGCAGCCAAACATCTGACCACAGAGGTGAATGAAGGAGTGAAGTCCAAACCTGAATAGGCCACAATTCTTGAAAATTCCTGCAATAGACCACACACTTTGTGTGGCCAGCCTATGTAAATATCCAGGAACCAGCATCATTGATCAACCATTACTTGCATCACCACGGACCAGCTGCCTGGTTTTGCTGATATACTCTGATGCTTGCTTGAGTATGCAAAGAATAGGACTGTAAGTGTTATATCTAGTTCCAGCTTAGCTTGGGAAACCCTTCAAATAGAGCTGGTCACAGTAGACACTGCACGTAATAGCCCTCTCCCTTTTACATTACAGGCAAGGTCATCTCCCTTGCTAGTGCTCTGCAGCCTCTAGTGCTTGCATTTGTGTGTTGATTTGCTCTAACACATTTCACAGGCTTTTTTTAATGCCCAGGAGCCATTTTTAAGGTTGAGATTTAAGAACTAGGAAGCTTTTGATATGTCAAGTCCTGATTTTTAGGATTCTGTGTTATTTCCATCCACTAAATGGCTCCCTGAGATTAAAAAAGGCTAATGATAAGCCCAAAATATAAATACTATGGCATTCTGGTATATCCCGGCAGAAGCCCCAGCCTAATGCTTTATAGGTTGTGTGAGAGATAGAGAATTCATCCCCAGCTTTTTGTTTTAAAGGTGTATGTATTATTTCCTCAGTATTCTTGGATATTTCCTTGTTGAACTATTACTACTATTAGTTACTTGTATTACGGTAGCACCTAGGAGCCCCTTGTGCTAGGTGCTGTATAAACACAGAACTAAAAGTTGGTCCCTTCCCCAAGAGCTTGCACACGAAGTAAAGAAGTGAGACAAAATAAAATGTACAAAATGCGCTAATACAGGTGGATAAAAATAAGCCAAGAGACTCATACTTAATGGGAAGGAGAAATCTGGGAGACAGTAATACCAAGAGAGACCTATGGGGAAAGCAGCCAATAAATTACAGATGAATTTACAAGACGATACGACTGAAAAAAAAAATCTACATTTCGGTCTGCTTATATGAAGGCATAATGTAATGGGGTAAAGAGATAATAATTCTTTTTGTATAGCTCTGGTGCTAATGCAGCTGGAATATTGCACTGACTTCTGGACAGTTGGTTACCAGCAAAATATTGACAAAATGAAGTGAGTTCAGAGAAGAGGAACAAAACTACCATTGGTTGGGTAATAGAAGAAAATATACAATGAGTTCATTAGTCAGTAAGGTGCCCTGCACTTCATCAAATAATATAACCAATAAACAGTATTCAAACAGTGCTGATAAGAATTATCAGGGTGCTTTGGAAGAAAGGGTATATGAGGATAAAAGAGATTAGCTTGACCAAGTAATGACTAAAGGGAGACTTGCTAAGAGAGAGGGATTATTTAGCAAGGTACATAGGGTATAACATGGAGATAATGGGATGAAAATAAGAATGGGAACATATAGGCTGAATATCAGAAAAGTCTTTCCGACAGTATTAGGCTGTGTAATAACTTCCCAAGGGAAGTAGCGGAAGCTTTGTTGCTTGGACTTTTGAAATTAGAATGGACAAGGT